TCGTCGTGGATGTACCTCAAGTTATTTGAGGGAACCACGTAAATCTTGTGTGCTTATTTATTTTTTGTTATTTTATTTATATTGCTTCCATTGATTTACACTTGTGGGAAAGCCTATTTTCCCAACATCTGGTATCAGAGCAATTGGTTAATTCGGTTTCGATTCGTTATATTTCTGTGTGTGAATTATGGACGGCAACGTTGGACGTATGGTTAGTTTCAATGGCACAAATTGGGTGACTTGGAAAACTAAAATGGAAGATCTTTTATTTTGTAAAGATTTGAATGGACCCATAGAGGGTGATAGTGGCAAACCGGAAGGGATGAAAGATGACGAGTGGAAAAAGTTAGACCGGAAAGCTGTCGGTTTTATTCGGCAATGGATTGATGATAGTGTCTTTCATCATGTCTCTACAGAAAAATCTGCACATGGTCTTTGGACCAAATTGGAGAGTTTGTATGATAGAAAGACGGCAGTGAATAAAGCCTTTTTATTTCGAAAGCTTGTGAACTCTAAATATAAGGAGAGTACTTCTATTGCAGAGCATTTGAATGAGATTAAGAGCATTGTGAATCAGTTGGCCGCCATGAAAATTACTTTTGATGATGAGTTGCAAGCTTTGTTACTTCTTAGTTCACTTCCCGAAAGCTGGGAAACTTTGGTGGTCACAGTTAGTAACTCCGCACCTGATGGAGTGGTAACAATGAGTCAAGTTACCAGCAGTTTGTTGAATGAAGAAACAAGAAGAAAATCATCAGGTTCTTCTTACTCCGAGGCACTTGTAATGGAAAACCGGGGGAGAGGCAGGAGTAAGAGTAGGGTTCCGCACAACCGTGATAAATCTAGAGGTCGTTCAAGCTCGATGTCAAAAAAGGATGTTGAGTGCTATTATTGTCACAAGAAAGGGCACATGAAGCGGGAATGTAGAAAACTCAAGTTCAAGGAGCAGAACAAAGAGAAAAATTCAGAGAAAAAACAAATTGATACAGCTGTAGTTACCGATGATGAACTCATGATTATCCGTGATGATGCTAGCGTTAATTTGATTGGCCAAGAGACGGATTGGGTAATTGATTCTGGAGCTTCATTTCATGTTACTTCGCGGGCTGATTTCTTTACTTCTTACTCACAAGGTGATTTTGGGAATGTCCGTATGGGAAATGAAGATGTGTCAAAAATTGTCGGCATGGGTGACATTTGCTTGGAAACAAATATTGGATGCAAATTGCTGCTTAGAGATGTGAGGCATGTACCAGATATTCGACTCAATTTAATCTCTGCTGAAAAGTTAGATGATGAAGGCTACATCAACAATTTCAGTAATGGAAAATGGAAGCTCTCCAAAGGTTCTCTAGTGGTAGCAAAAGGAAAGAAGACTTGTTCTCTTTACACTATGCAAACAAAAATCTGCAAGGGTGTTGTGAATTCCTTAGAGAATGACTCATCCACTGATTTATGGCATAGAAGGCTTGGACATATGAGTGAAAAAGGATTGCAAGTTTTGTCCAAGAAAGAGCTTCTAGTGGGGATAAAAGGTACGCCTTTGAAAACTTGTGTTCATTGTTTCCATGGTAAACAAAACAGAATATCATTCCGTAGAAACATTGCATCTAGAAAATCTCATGTTTTAGATTTGGTACATTCTGATGTATGTGGTCCTTTGAAAGTTAGGACACTTGGTGGTGCTCTATACTTTTGTCACTTTTATTGATGATCACTCTAGAAAAGTTTGGGCTTATACACTGAAAACTAAAGATCAAGTTCTAGATGTGTTTAAGATTTTTCAGGCCAAGGTTGAAAGAGAAACATGTAGACAGTTGAAATGTGTTCGCTCGGATAATGGTGGTGAATATATTGGACCATTTGATCAGTATTGCACAAATCATGGTATCAGGCATGAAAAGACAGTTAAAAAGACACCTCAACAGAACGGGGTTGCAGAGAGAATGAATCGCACCATTGTTGAGAGAGTCAGATGTTTGCTCTCACATTCTAAATTGCCAAGATCCTTTTGGGGTGAGGCAATGAGGACCGCAGTTGATCTTATCAATTTGTCTCCTTCAGTTCCGTTGAATGGTGATGTGCCAGAGAAAGTTTGGACAGGGAAGGAAGTCTCCTATGATCACTTGAGGGTATTTGGCTGCAGAGCTTTTGTTCATATTCCAAAAGATGAAAGGTCCAAGCTTGATCCAACAGCAAAGCAAATTCTTGGGATGAGAATTGTTCGTAACAGATCACATGGGCTGATTTGGTTATCTCAAGAGAATTATATTAAAAAGGTTCTTGAGAGGTTCAATATGGACAAAGCAAAGCCTGTTAATTGTCCACTTGCAGGCCACTTCAAACTAAGCTCAAGTCAGTGTCCTACAAGTGATGAAAAGAGAAATGAGATGCAGAAAATTCTCTATGCTTCAGCAGTTGGTTCTTTGATGTACGCCATGGTTTGTACTCGACCGGATATTGCTCACGCAGTTGGGGTTGTCAGTCGATTTTTGTCTAATCCAGGGAAAGAACACTGGGCAGCAGTGAAATGGATTATGAGGTATCTTCAGGGCACTTCAAAGATGAGTTTGTGTTTTGGTAAAGGCGAGCCTATTCTTGATGGGTTCACAGATTCTGATATGGCTGGTGATGTTGATAGTCGAAAATCTACTTCTGGTTATTTGATTACTTTTGCAGGGGGAGCAGTGGCATGGCAATCAAGATTACAGAAATGCGTTGCTCTCTCCACCACAGAAGCTGAGTTCATCGCCATCACTGAAGCTTGCAAAGAATTATTGTGGTTGAAGGAATTCTTACAAGAGTTGGGTTTGAAACAAGAAAGGTATGTCCTTCATTGTGATAGTCAGAGTGCAATCCACTTGAGCAAGAATTCTTCATTTCATTCGAGATAGAAACATATTGATGTTAGATATCATTGGATTCGTGATGTCTTGAATGATAAGTTGTTACAACTTGAAAAAATTCACACTGATGATAACACTTCGGATATGTTAACTAAGGCATTGACTAAGGACAAGCATGAGAAGTGTCGACTTTTGGCGGGAATGGTCGAATCCTCCACATAAGTCGGGAGGGGGAAAATTGTTGGGTTTCCCTCCTTTGTGGGACTCATCAATTTGCTAATTTTTTGGTGGCCTACCCGTGTAGGACTCTTATCCAAGACTTGGTTTGGAGTCTTCTAGTTAAAAAGGAATTTGGCAACCACCAAAGACTATAAGTTTTGTCCTTTTCTTTGGTTTATTTTTTCTCGGTTGGTTTTGGCAAGAAGACATATTTTTCGGCAGTCTTTGGTTCAACAAAAATTCAGCCTTCTTCTTCTCCTTTTTGGTGCCAGAAAAATCTGCAAATTTGTTCTTCAAGTGGGTAACATTTCTTCACTTGATATTTGGGTTTCTTGCGGTTTGTTCTTGGAGATTTGGTTCACTTATTTTGTGAGGTATTTTCCTCTTGTGATTTACACTTTGGTGTGTTTGTAAGGCTTATGCCTTTTGGCCACTTTGTAATCTGATTTGGTGATAGTGGAAGAAACTGACCTACTGGTCGTCGTGGATGTACCTCAAGTTATTTGAGGGAACCACGTAAATCTTGTGTGCTTATTTATTTTTTGTTATTTTATTTATATTGCTTCCATTGATTTACACTTGTGGGAAAGCCTATTTTCCCAACAGTTTGTTGTTTTATGGGTGCTTTTTTGTGGTGGTGTGATGAAGAGGCAAGCGGCAGACAGTCTGTGTTGTTTTGTTTTACTTTGCTTCGGATGGCAGTCAAGCAGTCAGTCGGTGGAGTTTGGGACTGGGCAGGTTGGTCGGTGATTGATTGCTTGGTTTAATGAAGAGGCAAGAGGCAGTCGGTGTTGTTTTGCTTTGCTTTGGGTTGTTGGGTTTACTAGGCAATCGGTGGGGTTTGTCTGCTTGGATGATTGGATGTTTGGGCAATTGATCTGGGCACTCGGTGAAGGTAGTCGGTGGCTGGCCTGGGCGGTTTCACTAGTTTTGGTGGGGAGTGGTGATGAGGGTTGTATGCTGATCGCCGGTGAGGATGAGGGAGAAGGTTAGGGTACGACTTTGATACCAACTTAAAATAAATGTGAGTGAAAAAAAAGATACAAACTAAGTGTAGAGTCCCGTATATATAGCCCATAAAAGTTAGAATAAGGATAACAAGGTAAAAAAAAAAATTTAATAAACTCTAATAAACTAAGCTGTTATATCTCCAACACTAATTATAGCAGCAAAGGAGAATCAGATTCTTATTACAAGAGGAAACAAGCAGAAAAGCAATTGAAGTCTTATCACTTCCAAAAGTAGTCCTTGCCCCACTCATATCAGACAATGTAGATGGCCAAATTCTAGTAGGTGACAACCAGAAACTTTATACAAAACATACGACATTTTTAATGAAGATATTTGCTTCCTTGTCTACATATGTGGGAAATAGAAATATAGAATGAACTTGTGCTTCCCAAATGTGTATATCCGATGTTATATAACAAATGATGTGAAAAAAATACTAAGCATTGAATGCTGAGTGTGAGTAAGAGGGTCTACAAATTCAATCATCCACATTGATTTGTTACACAAAATTTGGTAAACAATTTGGAAAGTATCGCAATGTTCAGGGCAAAAGTTGTATGATCCTCCCCATAAGCATTGGAAATGATGCTCCTTACCAACAAGCTACCAGATCTATGGGCTCCACATTGGATATTGCCAAATCTGGAGCCAACACCAACAGTCATAACTTGTTATTTTCTTACTCTTTTAGCTCATCCAACAAATGGTAGCATTCCCATCATCGGTGACTAAGCAACAGAATCATCCACTACCTTGTGGCAGCTGCATATAGTTGTTATTCGGAAAATGTTATGCTTACCAAAAAATTTTACCAAATCTTTCGTACCAAATAATGTGACACAATCTTCGTCATTGAATATTAATAAGACTCGTTCATCTAACGGTGAAAAACTATGTCAAATCATTTGGGATAGAGATTTGGTAAAAAAATTTAGTAAGCATAGCATTACCCGTTGTTATTCTATACAATTTAGGGATGATTTTGAATAGTGAACTTCAACTAAAAGTAAACGCAAAAGGTTTGCTGTTACATGGTAATGTCTCAAATATATGTACTTCTCAAACGATGTCTTTCATGTTGTCAATAAGACATAATTTCATTACAGAATAAAAACATAGCAAAGAGCATTTTTGAGAAATCATAACGTTTATCAACACCAAGCAGCAACATCAAGGGTAATCAACTTTTAGAGGCAGACTGGAAGATAAAAATTGCTGTCAGAACGCCCACCAGTGCTGTAACTGCCAAGGCCACTGTTGGCAAGGGGGCCGTGAGCCCAAAATTCTGCGTAATCAAAATGAATGAACTAATTAGATAGAAGGGTGCAGCATCATTTGGATAAGTAGAACTGATTTGGGAGCCTATAGAACATATCCTCCTATTCGATAAGGTTGTCTCAAATGTGCTTTGGGGAGGTGGGGGGGTCATGTTTTTGCAAAGCATTCATTGAGACCCCCGATATCCAAAACTGAAAATGTATTTCACATTGCAAACATAACGAGACATGTTTGAACATCCTAGTTACAGACAGGCATCAACACTGAATTGAGACTTTGATGTTACAGTGAATAGTTGAATTGCATCAAGGGCTTAGTTCTGGCCATCTTAAGTGTGACCCACATGATATCAGAGAGCAAATTCCTAATCAACCTGGAAAGTTGAATCCGCTATCAATTTCAACAGATGGAAGTGCTACATGGCTTCCGGAAAAGATATTAGATGTTGTCTAATCAGAGTCTAAGATTTGCCTATAATGTCTATTGTCGCATATAAATCCCTTTTTCTGTGGATTGTTACATCACCATGTATGTAGATTCACATTGGCCCCATTTCTCTTTGGGGATGACTAATCATTTTCCTTTTCATTTTAAACCCTTACAGGCAAAATACAAAATAGTTCAACAATCTGAGAGATGATAATATTTTTGATACACAGTTGCAACTCTTATATCTTAAACATGAAAGGAACATGCATCAAGTTTTACAAATGTAGAGTATGCAGTTAAAACATATCAACAGAAGTGTAAGAAATGTGCTATACCTCCAGAAGTCCTTTTCCTGTTGCTATTTCGATAGTGATGGCCACTGCAAAACCAACCATTGCTAGTCGGCCAAGCCATACATCCAAACTATTGCCCTCCTTGGTACTCTGCTCACATCTAATGGAAACTGATGCTTTCCCTGCAAGTTTCCTATGACGACTCGTTGTTTGTATCACTGACAATGAAAAAGAGTATTAGCTATAACCTTGCAGCATACAAATCATGTTCCTTCATTTAGCAGAGAACTGGGAAAAAATAGAATGCTCTGGATGTCACTTTGACTGTTATCTTAAGCTACTTTAGTACTCTCAATTATTTTCCTCTGTCTTCCTTGAAACTAAAGAGCTCGTAAAGAGCCATGAAAAGGTAAAATGAAGAGGTCTGAATGACATATCTTATAATTATTATCTACATCAAGGTTACAAGATGAATTTTTAGGACTTCATGTAAATTTTGAAGACTAAACTTCAGCATAACACAAGGATAAATAAGATGGTTGTCGTAATGCTTAAGTTCCTAGTGTGAACAAGCATTAGAGTCCCTAAATTTGTCAAACTGGCACACAATTAAAACGACCTGAGCCCGTTATCTTCTCATTTTAGACAAACTGAACATGAAAGACTAATGCTCAAAAGGACTAATTTGATCGGAGATCCTAGAAAAGGAAGAACAGTTAAAAGAAATGGTTGCACAAACTTGATCCTGAAAGATGATTTTCTATCAGGTTAACCAGAAAAATGGGTCATTTTGGTCAATTATTGCAGGCAGGTCTTTCGGCATGCCCTATCAAAACCAGTGGTAGGATTAGATAATACTGCATTCATATTGAATGAGGTAGAGCCCTAAAACACTTGGACCTTGAATCTCTATATTCGATAATATCAGACATGACTTTCAGTGGACTAAGATGTTGTCGGGAACCCAAATCAGCACCAATATATTCTTCCAAGAAATAACTTCAACAGTGTTGTCAGGATAAAGGAGGAGGGTTTCATTAGGTAGCCGATAGCCTACGTAAACTTTGTCGGATCCATTATGATGAGTCCAAAATGGTGAAGGCAGACTCATATAGCTGACCCCGGATTGGGACATAAGGCTTGGTTTGGTTATATTCTTCCAAGAATAGTTCCTTTACGGAATTCACTTTTCTTAGCTTAATTGTTTAAACAAATAATGCAAGTTCTAATGCTCAAATCAAAGTGTTTGATTGCAATACACCACATTTACCTCAATCTGTTGAGCACTTCATATAAATTTCACTATTCAACATCACGTTCTATTCTAGTGAGCTCCAAGCAATCCAAATCACAGGGCAGCCATTGATTGCCCCCAAATCCAGAATTTTAGCCAAATCTCAAATACAGAAACATATATAGAAACATGAGAGATTACAACAAGTACAGTTTGAAGCTTACATAGCGGAGACCCAGTGGCAAAGGTGGTCCCAATTCGAGAAAGATTCGAAAGCGAAACTATAGATATGGCAGGGGCTCCAGATGAGCTGCATACGCCAAAATCTGCAATAAATGGAAGTTTATAAAATACTTCAAGAAAACTAAACCTTGAAGAGAGAGAGAGAGAGAGAGAGAGAGAGAGCTACAGTGGGTGGAAGTGTAGAGAGAGGAAGAAACTTGGGCCAGTGCCATTTTGCCGGAGGAGAACGAGAGAGAAGAGGTAAGTGGGCTGGGATGGTTGAAGAAGACCTCTCAATTCCTATCGTTCCAAACAATGGTTTCTTCGGACCAGGGGAAAAACTTGACCCCAAAAAAAAAATGGTTAATCTCATTTTATGTCCCGAAAGATTGTTCGAATTTTAATTTGTACCCTCAAAGAGTAAAAATTTTAATTTATACCCTCAAAGATAGAGATTTGTATCAATGTGCACTCTCAAAGATCAAAAATCTCAATTTGTACCCTCAAAGATAGAAATTTGTATCAATGTGCACCCCCAAAGATCAAAAATCTCAATTTGTACCCTCAAAGATAGAAATTTATATCAATGTACACCCCAAAGATAAAAAATCTCAATTTGCACTCTCAAATATAGAAATTTGTATCATTATGCACTTAAAACTAAATTGATAAATTATACCTAGATCTCTTCATGTTTGTCGCTTAATCATTTGGATCTCTTTACATTTAGAATATTATTCCTACATCTCATAACATTTATGCACGTACAACATGTAACTCATTTTCATTGATATCTGTTAATATAACCGTTAAAAAATATAATTTTATCTTAATAAAAAAATATAATTTCATATTACCCTTATTTTATGGGTCCAATATACTCTAAAATTCAAAATCAAGCTTACCATTTGAATGTCTAATAAAATGTAGATATTTATATAATTTTTTTCATATTTTCCTTTATATAAATATCTACATTCTATTAGATATTCAAATGGTAAGCTTGATTTTGAACTTTAGAATATATCGAATCCACAAAATAAAGAGTAATATGAAATTATAATTTTTTATTAGGATAAAATTATATTTTTTAACGATTATATTAATAGATATCAACGAAAAGTGGTTATATTTACACATGTATAAACGTCATGAGATGTAAGGGTAATATTCTAAATGTGAAGGGGTTCAAATGATTAAGTGACAAACACGGGGGGATTTAAGTATAATTTATCAATTTAATTTTAGGTGCATATTGATACAAATTTATATCTTTGAGGGTGCAAATTGAGATTTTTGATATTTGGGGGTGTACATTGATACAAATTTCTATATTTGAGGGTGTAAATTGAGATTTTTGATCTTTGGGGATATAAATTAAGATTCGAACAATCTTTCAGGGTATAAAATGAGATTAACCCAAAAAAAAAAACCAGGGAAAAGGAAGGTAAATAACACTTTGTACCCTAAAAAATTTTGAAATTTTTAATTCGTATTTTAAAATATTAAAAATTTTAAATTATACCCTCAATCATGTAAAAATATAATAATATGGTTTATTTTAATAAAATTAAATACAAATTTTTTATATAAAATACTTAAAATTCAATAATATACACATAAATGTGAATAAAAATAAGAAACTATAAAGACGACAACACAAAAAATGGTCAAATAAAGCAACATATTTGCTGTTTGGAACCGCATTATTATCTCTAGAAAAAAAATCAAATTATTACCTTTTTGTCTGATTAATGGATTTATTTGGAGTTGATTTTTTAAGGGAAGAGTTGCGATTTAAAATTTTTTGAAAAAAAATCAGAGTTAAAAAAGTCTTCTAAAACTGTTTGGAATGTTCTTGGAAAAGTTGGAAAAATTCGTTTGGAGGAACTTTTTTGACTTTTTAAATCAAAATAAAAAAAATTATTACATGTATGTATAAATTATATATAATAGCTCCGAACACATAAATTTCAAAATTTGTTACGTCACTAAAAATATTTTATGAATATAATAAATTAAAAAATTATGTGAAACCCACGATAAAACTCCAAAAAAAGGAAAGAAAAGTTCATAAAATTAGATTATTGAATCAGGCTAAATAAATTTTTTTGGTCCAAAAAATTGCTAAATAAGTTGGTAAAAAAGCTAAGGTCTAAATGGTCCTGACTTATATTACTCCAAAGTTTTAAAAGCTATATATTTAAGCTAACTCCTAACATGCCCAATGATGTAATATAAAGAGTTTAATCTTTCAAGTTATAAATTAGAAATTTGAATAATTTTTAGGGTGCAAAGTGTCATTCATCCAAAAGAACCAATTAACTCGGGTTTCTGATCAACAAGCTACGCAAAGGGGATGCTGACACGTGTTGTATCGAGATTTGCTGTTGGTTATTTACTTGTTCAGTGCACGTTGGAGGTTGATTGGTCGTTAGAAAAGAGGAAGAAAATTAATAAAGGGAGAATTATACTTTGAACCCAAAAGATTTATTAGTTCTCATTTTATATCTTTAAAGACTATAAATTTTTTACATTACGTTATTAATGTATCAAAAGTGCTGTAATGTAGCCTTTTAATTACTTATTGTTTTAAATATCACCTCAATGAATTGATGAAATGGGAATGGAAGTTAACAGAAGAGACACATTGTAATATTTTTAATATATTAAAAATATAATATAAAAAAAATTAATATTTAAAGATACAAAATAAATTTTTTAAAATATTTTGTTGTGCAACTTACTCTCTACAAAATGCAACACGACATGATTAACCGACACAAATGATCACGGATTAAGTGGGTTTGGGTGAGACTTTAACAGGTTCGGGTGATAAACGGATTGACTCGTTGAACACGTTTAATAAATAAGTCGTGTTCAAGTGAGACATGTCAACTTATTTATCCGTTTAAATAATATTAATATAATAATAAATTAATAATTATTTTAAAAAAATTAACCAATTTTTTTTTTTAATAATAGTTACATAAAAAGTATATAAATATATTTTTCCCTAACCCTAATTTAATTTCATGATTCCATCTGCACTGAACCTGAAGCTTTGATTCCATCTGCACTGATTCCCATTTGGTTGGATCAATACCTACAGAAAAGAAATAAGTTAAAAAGAAAGATAAATTGAAGTGCTTGGAAACTAAATATGAAACAATACAGTAAGTTAAAATGTGTTTTTGTATAGCTTTACTGAACGCTAAGGTTCATACCACAGCCTGTGCCATCAACTTCGAACCAAAGAACCATTTTGTTATCTTTCTTGCAAAATTTTTTTTTCATGTCTTCCCTATCGCTTCAATTTCATTTTGGGTGCAGACCTTTGAGTCCTTGTGATTGATGGGAAACTTCCTGGTATTGCTAGAATTATCGTGTTAAATGGGTCTAAACGGGTGATAAACAGGTAAATGGGTCAAATAGGTGATTAACATGTAAATAGGTCAAAAGAGTGGTGTACCGTGTTAACTCGATCCAACTCAGTTCGACTTGTTTAAAATTAGACGTGTTAAACGAGTCGTGTCGTGTTACCCGTTTATTAAACGGTTCGTGTTCGTATTTTGATTTTTTACCCGTTTAATAAATGTGTCGTGTACGGGTTTACATGTTTTTTACCTGTCACCCATTTAACCCGACACGTAATTATTTAACCTGACACGTTTGACACCCCTAGTGCAACTGCAAAGTACAATTCACCCATTAATAAATAATGAAGCATAAATTTACTAAGAGTGTGAAAATATTATTTAGTTTTAAAATAACTCATATAATAATTATGTACAAAATTTTAAATAATTTATTATTATTATATATATCAATTAATGACTCATTTATTATTCATGTTAATTGGTCATGTCATTTTTGATTTAGTGGCGTATTTGTGTTAATAGATAAAATTGATGAAAAATACTACAAAATTCAAATGAAACTTAAAAGTTAAAATTCAAATGCATATTATTCGTTGGATGAGTGAGTCGTATTAAAAAAATTGATGTGACTTACTCATACAATAGATGATATGCATTTCAGTTACAATTTTTTAGATTTCATTTGAATTTTATAGCATTGCTCAAAATTAATACCCTAAGTTTAGTGTTGTGTTCGTATCCGGTGTATCAAATAAGTTGTGTAGTATTATTGTCGTACCCCAACCCAGTAAGGTCCCTTTATCCATCCTAAGGATGGGGTGGACCGAGTATTATCTTGTGACACATTTTGTCTAACATTTATATAATAAAGTAACTATATTGTATGTCTTGAATTTTTCACGATTTAATCGTTTTGATCTGATAGTTTCAATTGGACTTTCATTACTTTTACAATTTTAAGACTGTTATCTATATAATAAAGTAACTAGATGGTTTGTCTTTAGTTTTTTGCAGTTCAGATCGTTTGAAAATTATAAATTCGACGATTCTAATTGAATTTTCATTTTTTTTACAACTCTAAGACTCATATCTCTTATATAACTCTCTCCCACTCTATCTCATACACCCAAATCTCGTACGTATATAACTCTCTCTACACACACACTCTCTCATCTCTCTCTCTCTCTCTCTCTCTCTCTCTCTCTCTCTCTCTCTCTCTCTCTCTCTCTCTATATATATATATATATATATATATATATATATATATATATATATATATCATATTATCTCTTAACACTATTTGTCTTGATGATTGTAATCGGACTTCTTTACTCAAAAAAATTTAAGGTCAAGTTAATCATCAATAAAAAAATAACAAGTGATACCAATTCTACAAAAAAAAAATCATAACCAAACTAATCACCAATAAAAAAAATAAGTGATACCAATTGCATCAAAAAAATAAAAAAAAATCAAAGTCAAGTTAATCACCAATAAAAATAAATAAAAAAGTGATACCAATTGTACCAAAAAAACTAAAAAATGCAATGTTAAGCTAATTACCAATAAAAAAAATACGTGAAATCAATTGCAAAAAAAACAATATTCAAAATCAACTATAACATTTTTTATCTTATTTGCATCACTTTTTCCTAACTAATGTTCATATTTTTTTGAATACTTGAATATTGCAAAATAAATACCGAAATGATAAAAAGTCAGTTAAATCAATTTTTTTTAAGTGGTAAAATTTTGATTTTGCGGATTTGGTTTAATTGCAGTGTGAGAATATTTATATAGAATCTGAGAAGTCACAGTGACAGAGAATTCAAATTAATTGTTCTAACATCTACAAGCAAATCCGTTGGGCAATGTTAGTTCGATTGAGATTTTTCTATTTTTTAGAAATTTGATTTGTAGTTGAATGTGGTTAATTCGTTTGATTGGATTCAGTGATTTAATTGTGTGT